TGAGTGGGTTGATTTTTGGGTTTAGGGGAATGTGCTGAACGGGTGAGGGACCTCGGGTCACCGGCTTGAGTTGGATTGCGGATGTGAGTTGTTTTTTGGGTTTAGGGGAATGTGTTGAACGGGTGAGGGCCCTCGGGTCACCGGCTTGAGCTAGAATGCGGATGTGAGTGAGTCGGTTTTTGGGTTTAGGGGATGCATTCAAACGGGTGAGGGCCCTCAGGCCACCGGCTGTAGGTGCGATGTGGATATGAGCAAGTCAACTTAGGTCAACGTAATTTTAGACGAGTTGTCCATTCGACGTAATGTCCTTAGACCACTTGTCCGTTAGACGAGTTGTCTTTAGACGAAATGGCAGGCACCCTCTGGAGATCCGCAGGAAAATATGTAACTTTTTTGTGCCGTCACCGTCTCCGTCACCGTCTCTGTCACCGTCCCCGTCACCGTCCCCGTCACAATGGTCTGTATCGGGAACAGTGTGCACAAACAGCATCATAATGGCACCCGACCCACAGCTTCCACCCTGCCGGGCCACCTCGCAAAACAGGACACAGCCCCAAGCGCCCCAGTTGATGTCCCGTGCGCTCCCGCACCTTTTGCAGCCTCGTCTGTTGCACAGAGCCCCTCTTCTGACCCACAGGCCAGTCCACAAACGGCGGCCAAACATGGCGAGCCAGTCACAGGGCCAGTCACACGAGGACTTCAAGATGAGCGACTTCGAGAACCGGGCAGCCAGATATGGTTCGGATGTGCGCCGCACGCTGCCGGGCTACGGCGCGATGTTCGACATGGCCGCCGCGATGCTGTCCAGCCGCGCGCCGCAGGATTGCAATCTGCTGGTGGTGGCCGCGGGCGGCGGCGAGGAGTTCTGCGTCTTCGGGACGAGATTCCCGGGCTGGAGGATGACCGGCGTGGACCCGTCGCCAGCCATGCTGGCCGTGGCAAAAGAGCGTGTGGAGGAGAAGGGGATCGCTGATCGGGTGGAGATGCTGTGCGGCACGACGGGCGACCTGCCCGAAGGGGAGGCCTTCGATGCCGCGACGTGCATGCTTGTGATGGGCCTGCTCCCGGACGACGGGTCCAAGTTGTCGTTCCTGAAGGAGGTGGCCGGGCGGCTGAAGCGCGGCGCGCCGCTGCTGCTGGCGAACGCCACGGGGGACGCGGGCAGCGAGGGGTTTAAGCGCATGGTGGCGGACGTGGCGGCGTACGGGCTGGCCAAGGGGATGCCGCAGGACATAATGGACAAATTCCAAGCGCATGCGCAGACGGTGGCAGATGCGCATATGGTGGTGACGGAGGCGCGGGAGATGGAGCTGCTGGAGCAAGCGGGCTTCGAGGTGGAGTGCAAGTTCTTCAAGGCGCTGATCTACAACGCCTGGATTGCGTACAAGAAATGAGGGCCGGGCGGGAACTGTGGAGATTGTGGGAACTGTGGAGGTTGGGAATTGTGCGTTTTTGCATGCCGAAAATGGCGTGGGAACGACGGGGTCGGTCATGGGAGGGAGAAGAATATGTGATGGGCCGAATGTCTTTTCTGAAGGTGTAGAAAACGGACTTTACTTTAGTGGTGCTCGTTGTTTTGGAGCTGGCCGCCGAATGGAAGGCGCTAATTTGAGGCCCGCAGAGTGCTCCGGTTCTCATCCGCACTTTCCAATCGGGAAAGCGGGGGCGGGGGTGCCAATGCAAGGGACGGCATCTTGGTTGATGGATGGTAACCCATGCTGGCAGACAGGCCATGCGGCTTGCGTTTGGTTGACTTACTTCTCCATTGTCGTTTGTTATTTGCAACATGCGAATGTTTGCAGCAGATTCTCGTTCTTCATTGTGCTCCCTTCTTCTGGCACAAATTTCTGGGAATGCAGGAACGAGGGACGGTTTGTACCCCCAATCGTCTTCTTCTCAATGCAGGGGGCCCCTTGGCCAAGCCCCTTGGCCAAACCCCTTGTATTTGCACGCTCTTGCTTTCATGTCTCGGTGAATTGTTCCGTTGTTCGAGACAGAGTCGTGTCGGTTTATTCCATCCTGTAATTCTGATTTCACATCCAGCGGCGTTGCCAAATGGCCAGCATGTGCTTCGGGCACTTAATGCGCTTTGTGCCTTCCTCCAGGCCACCTTACACCCCACACATATTTCTCCTGTTCGAAATCACAGGTTCGAGGCACAGGCCGGCAGAACCAGCCCAAGGCCATATGTGGGGTACCATGATCAGAAAGAATTATCCCACACGTCAGGCCGCCACTGCAAGGGTGCCTTGTGTGGATAATGAAAGGCAACACACATGAAGACTTTTCGGATCTTTGTAGTACAGATCTTTATATTGCCGCCATCATCTAATTAGATGACAACCTACTAATAAGCAAATTGGGGGTTACGAAGCCGAAAGGCAATCCTCCGTAGCCCTTAAAGAAAGGGCGCATGGGGCATCTCCCCAATCTTCCCACAGTCCTTCCGTAAGAAAAGTCCAGCAGCCATCATCCGCTCGTGGCTTGTCCCTAGCTCTCTGAAAGACACGTCTTTGAGGCTTGTCATAAAATGCGATCCTGTCTTGCACTGTCCTACTAATTGTGAATTGGAGGGAAGTGGTGGCGGTCAGAACAGTAGCAACGCCCCTTGCGACTGAGCGCTGCGCACAAGAACGTATTTCTGTGCAGGACTATGTTGCTGCGGCCACGATCTTCTTATGCTTGCATCGTGGGTTTGACTGGCCGCTGCCACCGCACATTTCTCTGCTATCACTTCCTCCGCCCCAAATTAAATTGCAGTTATGATCTGTCATCTTGGAAAACCCACTAAAAGTATCAGAATTTCACTAAAATCTCTTACATTATTGTGATTTATGCCTAGTTTTGGCAATCAAAATTTTGAGCCAATCGGTTAAATGGTGAATCCGTAGTGCTATTTCAAACACTGTTCTGGGAATACCCCAACTTCTCAAGGTGGCACCGAAACCGCCTGTTTCCTGGTCTAGGAACATGCCATATTGCGGTGGCTCTCTCCAGACCAAACGACAAGAGTTGGAGACGCGCTTTAGACTGTAGGATAGAGCAGAGATAGAGAGGCGGAGGGTAGACTGCCATTGCATTCTGGAAATGTGTGAAAAAATATTTCGCTTGTAGATTCGAGACTACGTGCCGAACAATTGAGACCATCGGTAAGCCGTTCCAGTACGTAATCAGCAAACCCGCCAGAATGAACTTGTTCCACATATGGTAGGGGAACCCAATTGGGATGTCCCAATACATGGCGCAAGCAGTTTGTCAGAAACTTGAGAAGATTGCGGCGCACCACCAGCGCACAATTTGGCGAATGGCGGTCAAGGCAAAAGGCAGGCAAGACACTCGGTCATGCCTTTCGAGATGAGCTGACGGCCTGCCCTTTGCTTTCGCATCTCAGCTCCAACCAGCAATCTGAAACGCGTCTCTAAATCGCGTCTTTTTGCAAGATTGGGGCCATCTCAAGGGGTTATGATCCACGGCCCAAAACAGGCTATTTTGTAGCCACCTTGAAATGCTTGGCTGAGTGACGTATGTTCGCGACGACACTACGAATTTGATACTTAGCGAAGCAACTGAAATGTTTGGGAGCACAAAATGGACTCAAATTAAAATATTCTTACAAATTTTTGTGAAAATCTAACATGATTTGGTAGCTTTTCAAGGCGCACGGTTCATAATTGCAATTTAATTTGGGACGGAGAAAGCTGCATTTATTTTGTATCTCTCACGGATTTAATATCCAGCACGTACTGAGGGCAGCACATCGCCGGTCTGACATTGGTTCGCAACACTGCCGAGTACAGGGGGCTCACGACCCAGCCCACAATGATCCTCTGTGCAAAATGGGAGCTCAAGAGGGCGTGGAACTGATCATTGTTTGTGACTTCATCAATCATCCTGAGTGTCTCAACGCGCCGCATACTGTGGCCATGAACATAGCCGCTTCTGTGTTTATGTGCACTTACACGCCAAAAAGTAGAGGCAAAAATGGGGCCCTAAATGCAAATTACAATCCTGATTACGACTGTGATTGTCGTGACAATCATTAGTGTCAAACATGGAGCCTAGGGTCAGCGCAGTCGTGCTGCTCGAGGCTGCGACAAAGAATGTGGCCAGAAGAGTACCCAACGACATGCAATGACTTTACACAAACAGGCGCCGCGTCCTTTCAATCACAGGACCAGCGCCCGTCCACTTTGACTATGTCCAGCAGTGTCTTCTCTCCCAGCCCCAGTCACCCAATACGGTTCATCATAAAATGCAAACATCGGCTGGTTCATAACTCTATGGCGTCATCAACATCGACGTTGTTGTCGTTGATTGGAGGGGGGAAGGGGGGACAATTGCCTTTGTGCTTCACACTGACCAGCTGATCACGGTCATTATCGCACAACGGCATTGGCCCGTATGGACGCACGGGAGACACCCGCTTCGAGAACGCCGTGGGTAGTACCTCGGTACCTGCAGTACCTGTAGTACCTATATAGGTACCCTTACAGCACATATGGTGCGCAACCATGTGTGCACCACCGCACCATGTATGGTATGCACGCCACCTCTAACAGCCCCACAATCACCACCCGCATCTGAAGGGACCCTTCGTGACATTAACATGCAATTAGCACACGCTCGCGCATGTTGCATCGCCGCCAACGGCAGCGTGACTGCACATGCTCGACCGCTGCCACCGGGCCGTGCCACCTCGTCATGTACGAGCGAGCGGCATCCGGGGGCATACAATGCTGTACACGGTTCCCCGCCTGTCCTGGCCTGTACCATGGAGCGCACCTGTCAGCCCACAGGAGTGGACCACCACTTGCTACTTACTACTTACCACTTACGACTTACAACTTGCTTACTACTGTATATATACTTCAAGCCCAAGGTGGCCAACAAACACCGAGGCCCAGTTTATGTCCCGCAGCCTCCAGTGCCGCCTGCAGCCTCGTCCTTGGCAAAAACGCCCTCTCTTTATCCGCAGGCCGCTGCACACCCGGCCGTCGAACATGGCGGCCGCGGCGCGGGGCGACTACAAGCTCACCGACTACGAGGATCGGGCGGCCCGATACGGGTCGGATGTGCGCCTCTACCTACCCGGCTACGGCGCGATGTTCGACATGGCCGCCGCGTTGCTGTCCAGCCGCGCGCCGGGGGATTGTAATCTGCTGGTGGTGGCCGCGGGTGGCGGGGAAGAGTTCTGCGCCTTCGGGTCGAGATTCCCGGGCTGGAAGATGACGGGCGTGGATCCATCGCCCGCGATGCTGGCCGTGGCGAGGCAGAGGGTGGAAGAAATGGGGATTGGCGATCGGGTGGAGACGCTGTGCGGCACGGCGGGCGACCTGCCGGAGGGGAAGGTTTTTGATGCCGCGACATGCATGTTTGTGATGGGCATGATCCAGGACGATGGCTCCAAGCTGGCGTTCCTGAGGGAGGTGGCCAAGCGGCTCAAGCGTGGAGCGCCGTTGCTGCTGGCCGACGCGGTGGGGGACGTGGGCAGCGAGGCGTTCGGGAGAATCATGGCGGACGTCGCGGCGCACGGCATCAGCGGCGGGATGCAGGAGGACGAGATGGACAAGTTTCGGTCGCAGGTTGGGAGGCTGCCGATTGTGACTGAAGCCCGGGAGATGGAGCTCATGGAGCAGGCGGGCTTCGCGGTGGAGTACCAGTACTTTAGGGCGCTTATTTTCAGCGCCTGGATTGCGTACAAGAAGTGACACGAGTGGTGTGTGGCTTTGGTGCGTGAATTACGCTGCTTCCATTTGTCAAATTATGACAAACTTTTGGGTTAAAGTCGTTGAATGCGGTGCTGTAAATTGCCAAGTCTCAGGCCATTTTTTCCGCAAACAGTGTGCTTGTTAGAAAAGTTTTCTAAGAACATCGCCGCTTTTAAAGCACATGATGCTGGGGGAGTGGTGTGTGTCTGGGGTCAGTTCGTGTCAAGAATGCTGTGAGAATGGCGAGGCAGCTAAAGGGACAAAGAAGACGGTGTGATCGAACCGATGTCTTGTTTTGGAGGTGTAGAGAGTGGGGCATGCTATCGTGGGACTCACTGTATTGGAATTGGTGGCCGAACAGATGGCGCAAGTTTGAGGCCAAGCCATGTGCTCATTCCTCGTCTGCGCTTTTGCAACTGGACCAAGGGCACTGGTATGCAAAAAAAGGACGGCATCTTGGATGACGATGAAAGCCAATGCTGGCAGACCATGTGGCTGGCGTTTGGGTGGCTGTCTCCTTGACTACAGTTCTTTTCACAATTGGTGAATGTTTGTCGCAAATTCTCATTCTTTTTCTTTGCCCTTCTTTGTGCTGGCGTAAATTTCTGGAAGCACAGACTAGAGGCATTTCATTCATTTCATCAGATTTCATGCATTTCATTTTATCTTAGGGACCAGTTCATTGCTTGATTGGAGTTGGTGACGGGCGTACACCTGAGATTTGTTGTCTGGGTTGTGACCATAGGGTCTTTCTTTACTAGTTCTGTCGCCTTGGTTGGCTGGCGGCTCTTCAGCCTTAACGGCCGTGAATTCGAACAACAATTGTGGAATCGAACCAGGACATGTGCTTGGGACTATTGCCTGACATCGTGAATTTTGGGCAAGGGTATTTGCTTTTCCATGTGGCAAATGTAATCAGAACGAAGAATTACAGGCACGGAGTCCTGGGACAGTTTGCAATCCCAAAGTGTATGTCACGACGTGTGATACCCCCTTAGGAAACGCTCCTTGCACTTGTGAGTGCTTGCGTCTTTGGCATCAATGAACACTCCTGCTGTTCAACAAAGAACTATCTCTGTTTGTTTCATTTGGGAGTGTCTTAGAGCTCTGCCTCTCCTTCCAGTGGCATTGCCGAATGACATGCTTTTAGTTCAGACATTCAATGTCCTTCTCGAATTCCTCCAAGCCACTTAAAGCCCCATGCACAAATTTCCCAATTCAAAAAGCACAAGTTCGAGAGACGGGCAGTGAGTCTCACAGATATAAATACAAATGTAACAATGGACCAATTTGTAACAAATACCCACATATACATATAGATAATTAAGTACCCTGTTGATGAGTTTCTGCCAAGGACAACGTTGGGTGGGCACGCACCGGCCAGCCTGGGCCGGGCGGCCTTTCTAGACCGTTTCAGGGCCATCACATACCAGTTTCTGTCACCCCTTTACCCGGGGTCAGTTCTGACCGCCGGATCCAAAGGGCAACCGGGTGATCCTTGTAATCTGGGTATAGACAAGGGGACCGGTCAAGCTGGCCCTTGGGTTTGGGGGGAGTTTTGGCGGCAAGTGGGAACGGCTATTTGGGGCGTGACCCTTGGCGCCCCCTTTATCTTCTTTCGCACCCACCCGCCCACCCTAATAGAGTGAGTTTTGGTTAGTTGTGGGATAGAGAGGGAGTTGAGTGCGAGAAAAGGGGAGCTGACTCAGGTTGAGTCACCATCAGTGTGGCATTGCGTACTATGCAAAGCGAGGGGCACATATCAAGTGGGTCGCCAATCGGGTCTTGTAATAGCGAGGTGATGAAATCAGTACATATGTGAGTGTAGTGTCTTGTCGTGTGGGGAACAACGCGGTGTGTGTGTGTGTGTGTGAAGGCGACCGGTAAGGCAGAAACACATGTATATAAAAGAATTCCCCCCTCACAGTCAGACCACGATCGTGAGGGCGTCCCATGTGGATAATGCTCTTCAGGGAAAATCCAGACAATTTCAAGGTGTGCCACGTTCCAAATCCTTGCATTCAAAACAAGTGGGGGTCACAATGCCAAGAGGCAACTTGCCGCAGCCCTCAGGGAAGAGCACACGGGCATTTCCCCATTCTTCTAATAGGCCTTCCGCAAGCAATCTGGATCAACGCGTCCATGGCCCCGTCTTATAGAAACATGTGTTGCGCCGTCCAGCCAATTTTCCAGGGATTCTGTGGATGTGGAGGCGGTCAGGTGCCAAGCGAAGCGCCATCCCCTCACAACTAAACATGGTGCGTGCAGGTGCACTTTCGTGCAGGGCTACGCTGTTGCAGTCGCTGTTTTCTTATGTCTGCATCGTGGGCTCGGCTGGCTGCAGCTACCACACAACAAAACAGCTCTAATGCTGTAGTTCTCATCGGCGTCACACCGAGCTTTGATAAGGGCGCTGCTCACTGGGCTGACATTTGATAGCGGCACTGCGCCAACTGCAAGGGGGCCAGGACGTGGCTCACACGCATCCTAGACACCTTAGACATCCTAGGCCTTGCTGATTGGTGGCAGCATGTTTCACGGACGCACCACGCAGTGCGCACACGATGTAAACCGCACGACTCAATGAGCGCAGCGCACCTTGTATGCAGCATTTGACGAGCTTCCCTCCAAACGCCAGTGTGCGCAGCAATCCGATTTGTGACAGGACACCAGTTCTTCTGCCACAACTCAGTGAATCCAGCATAGATCCCAATCGAGCCAAAGACTCAGTTTCAGCTCCGACTCCACAGGCATCTACAAGGGCCTCCCCCCCCCTCCCCAACCCCGCTGCCCTTCTGCTGCTGCGCCCTTACCCACTCTCTGAGATCTCCAGGCGCATGTGCTCCAAGCCTCGCAGCTTCTGGCTGTGGCACATGATACATAAAACAAGTGCAAAGGGCAAAGTGGATGTCTTGGGAGGCAGTCGACCAGGAGGCGTCCAGGACAGCATACACATGGGCTTAAATACTTGGCCAGGTGAGGGTGAAGAAGTTTGTGCGCATTTTCCACTGGCGCCCCAAACTTGCCCCACACACACAGCTACACCCCGCAGCCTCTCAAAGGCGATCAACGCCAACAGGCCTCCTGCTTCAACCATACCCCAGGTATATCACAATTCGCTGTAGCACTACGAGTCACAGAAACAGTCAAGCCTTCCTCCAACTCCCGTCCTCACTTTGTGACCTTGTATTTCTGCACAAACACCACATAGCTGGGTGTTGGTCGCTTGCCTATGCTTGTGAAAAAGGCAAAGCATGCGGCACAGCAATTTCAAGACGATGGTGGACACTACTAATGGTATTCCTGTTGCCATTGTTGTGGCTATATTGCTGATGTCACCATGATCATGACCATAATCGTTGTTCCCTCCACAGCAATTGTTCATTCCCCTCACTCCAGTACCCAGAAATTCCGAAAAAGGGGAGATTCAAATCCTATCGTGGGGATGAGCGACACAAATGGCTGGATCCTCGCTGGCTTGGGTCAGTGCAATCGACATGCTGGAGGCTGTGGCAAGAAAACGTGGCCACACAATGACTCAACGACTGGAAACGACTTCACATGAATGGGTGCCTCAAGCACTCAACCATGACCAGTGCCCGCCCACCTTGACTTTGTCCAGCAAGTTCTTTGCATTCGCGTCATTCTTGAAGTGATCCCTCACAGGTTGAAGGATCGTGTTGATGGCGGCGGCCAAAGAGGGCTTCAAATCCCCTGCGTCCACATCGTGATTAATAAAAGAACGATCGCAGTGTCTGTCCGCCATCTCTGCGCGTCTGTTCCATGCACATGTGTACCGCATACGGCAACAGTAGGCCTAAGTATCGCCAGGGACAGAGGACTGTCCAAAACCTATGATTGCCATATGTGAAAAGTCATGAAGGGATCGTGAACATTGCGAAGGATACTGGGGACCTAAAACCTAACACCCTAGACACCAACAATGGTGTTCATTATCTTAATGACCTTCATGAATCCATGTCCGCAAACGAAGGGCATTGGACATTTGTGCAGGAGACCATGGACGCCAAACGACTGAGGTGCGGCGACTGAGAAACAAAAAATGAGCGACAAGGGGGCTTGCACCTGGAGACATGGAAGGAACAAGCAATGCGCTGTGCACAAACAATGTGCATGGAATTAAGGGCAACATCGCCATCAAGGTGGAAGGACAATGGTTTGTCGTATCCATTGACAAATGCAATCAACGGAAGATATGGCTTGCGAGCCATCTCTTCAGGGCAGGGGTGTTTGGCCTCTGCTCGAACAAGAAGGGCCCCAACAAGTTATCTGTATCTAAGGGTCTTGCTCAGCAATGAATCCCAAATTGGTAACTTCCAGATGCATATCCTTCAAGCTGAAACTATTGTTTCTTCAAAAAACTATCGCCAGTTGTCACCTTCAGCATTGGGATTTCAGGGACGGAACGAACCACTCCAGCAATCTTGAAATCACGCAAAAAAAGACAATAACCCGTTCCAGGACCAGAACCCCCTTCGATGAATTCGATTCATGAATGGAAATGCAGAATGCACAGGTGACTCTTCCTACATTCGCCCCATTCTTGCCAACAGCTCTTCTTGTGGGGCAAAGGCAGTGAGAAGCTTTTATTGGAGCTGAGCTTGAACAACAGTGTCACTCCAACAAGGACAACCACAGCCCCAACTTCCACCCCGTTGGGACTTGACAGCAGCAGAGTTCGCAAGCGTGTGGTCTAATCAGCTTCTTTCATTGTGAAGCTGCATGGGCAACCGCACTAAGGGAAAGCGATTGGGCCAACAGCAAAGCACAGGATGACAGCATGACAGCCTTCTGACAGCACATTTGGCATCAACTTCAGTGCAGACGAGACAGCTTCCACTTGGGCCAGTCACAGCTTGACAGCTCAAACCTTTGTGGAATGCTCAGGCTTCAAGCCAAAATGAGCTTATCACAAGACTGAAAGACTTGACAAGCAGAACTGAGCCTCTGCCAATTGAACCAGGCCGATTACCACAGCACAAACCACGACTCCCACGCTCCCTGCCAGCCTTATTTTCGAATTCGCAGCAACAAAGCATTCAAGCCACACTCGCCTGGATGGAGTGCCCCACTTTCGTAATCAGCCACCAACTCGTCTGCCGATGTGTATGTCCTGCAGCCAAACAATGCCTTTCTCAGTGTACACAATTATAAGGTCATGGTAATGCACTGCCCTTGCTTGTGAATCCTTTGAGTACCTGTGTCATAACCAACATGAAATACAATGGCCCTGTGCCTTGAAGGTAACATCGGGCTCAAACTCCAGGCACCAAATATTGTCATATCTCCTGGCTGGTTCACTTCTGCCCCAGTACCTTGTGTGGGATGTTCAGCACAGTGTACAAATCCATGTCACTGAAACGTTTCTGATCCTGCTGCATCCAATTAGTTGCTTCAATGCTTTCCGCACATAGTTATATAAATGGCACAAGGTCCATCTTTGCAGGCTCTTGATGACACCATTTGTAACAAGGGATTTCAATGTCGTATTTGCAGGGATTGCGATGTGTGATGCTGAGAACAACTGCATGCATGCAAGTACGTGTCTGGGGATCCTGTTGCCTGCCTTTGCTGTGGCCCATCATATGGCAGCTCACAACGTCACCATCGTGTGCTGACCAGGGTAGTTGATGTGACAGATGTTATGCTGTGTGTGCTGAGTACATGCAATGTCATGCTGTGGAGTGGATGCACCCAACCAGTGCCCATGGTGTTCATCAGCTGAGATAATATCCGCCCTCACAAACACTGCCTTGCAACGAAGACAACCACTGTTGACGCTGGTTCACGTTCAGTTTCTATTTCTTAGTCAGCACCATCTGAAACAAGCAAAGCTTCTTCATGCACAACTTCTTAGGATGCCACAACACTGAAATGAATGCAAACTATTCTCAATTTCAACCAACAACACACTCGATTTTCTATTTACAGCTGATTTGTACTCTCAACTTCCATAACAATCAACATGAAACAAACCTAGAAAATGCTGAAAATAACAGGCAGTGGGTCTACATTCTGCATCATGGATTCTGGTTGCCACTCAGACGCACTTGTCACCACCATTTTCTTCTGATCTCTTGACTTCGAACTTCTGGAACCAAGGAAACACGATGAATTTGATGTACTCGATGCAGGGGTTGGCTTCAACAACGCCTGGGGGGCAGTATGCCTTCTTGATCTTTGTCTTGACATCAGATTCACTATCCTCCATGAATATAGCAGAGTTGGGGTCACTCTTGGACATCTTTTCCTGGCCCTATAGGACGCACAACCACTCCTGCATGTTAAAATCTGTGTGAGTCTTGCTGATGTGCAAAGCATCGCTCTGTTAGATACATGGATGGGTCAAACGTGGTACATGAGGTTTGACCATTGTACTGATCCATGCTGAACACAATGAATGCAAGTTTACTACATTCCAAGGTTGTTTTGGTGAGTTTTTTGAAGTAAGCAACTATTGGTCAATGTGTACCACTCTTTGAGAAGAACTGAACTGCCACAGTATTGACTGTAGCTGCAACATAAGGCTGCGCGTGATTCTTCTGTGATGTCATGCCAAATACGGACCGATTGGTGATGTTTTCTGAACATCGGATTGAAACGCATTTTTCAGTGCTGAAAATCAGTGCATTCAAATTAATGGCAGCACTAACACCATAGCACTCAAACGAACATTGCTTGGATGCTGCTGTGACCGTCAGCACCCTGTTGGGGTGCAAGAGCTTGTTCTGTTAACAGATGGAAATCCAACGGTGTTCATTTCTTGGGCATGCTACCTGAGTTTAGAATGTCTCTTGCCAATGCTGTGGCATCCAATGCTGCTGCCCAGTGGCAAAGGGTCCAACAAAAGTGACTCAGAGGTGCTCGGATATGTGTCTTCCATTCTCAGGTGTTTAAGAGACAATGCAACACGGTGGGCCCAGCCAAGAAATGGGATTCGAGGTTGAGGGCATTTTCAGAGATTCATTACAACACAATGGTGAAGCAACAGCCTCTAATGCTCTCACTTCATGTGATGTAATTGACAACACTGACAGCACAGACAGCCCTGGTCCACAAGGCCCTGTGAAACAGTGTGCAGGCTTACCTCAAGCAGACCTGGCATCATCCTGTGGGACAGAATGACTGGCTTGAACTTCCTCTTGGTCTGGGTGCAGTACTCACGAGCGAGCATATTGACCTTTCTCTGGTCCAAGCCCAGCTGGCAGATGTCCGCCTGGAAATAACCCCAAGAGAGAATGCTCATGCTTGCCAATGCCAAGTTAGGACCACAGTGTTACCATTGGCAGCAGATACTAAACACATCGCTGGGTACTGTGTCTAACCGCAGGACAGGCAGGCCACCTGCAAGGCCACAACATTCATGCAGCTTTTGCTCAGATGGAATAGCTGACCTCAGAATGCGCAACATTCCGTTAAGGATGTTCATTTATCATAACAATGTCCCCTGCGCTGGACATACTACTGTTCTTAGCACATTGGCCGATATCGAATGTCTGGAAGGCCATGGGTTGTGCATAGTTTGCGCCCAGTGGCATCACAGAAATCTCCGCCCAGTTGTCTTCAGCATCGAAATCATGCATCACAAGCTTGATGATTTATGACAGCATGCATCTGTGCACGCCCCCCATCAACTTCGGTGCTGACATTTCAAAGTCTGGGCAATATCAAACAGCAGATTGCACTGTGAATGCGTAAAAATGTGCGATCAATGCCGCATTGGATACAGGCCAATGCATCAACAAGCACTGATGAATCCGTGATGTTCCTGTTCGGCCTCTGAGACCAGGTTTCCCTCACTCAGAGCCACAGCACCGGCAACCATACAATATTTTTACCGATGACACATTCATTCGAAGCTCAAACCACTGCAATACGACAACAGCCACTGTTGCCACTGCTGTCTCCACAAGCACACAGGCAAATCTGAGACTTTTCAAGATCAGTGCAGCCAGTGTTTAGCAATACACAAACAAGCATCACTACCACAAGCCACACTGCATGAACACAACCAATAACATCATTAGCAAAAACACACAGAAAATTTCACCCCATCTCAGCATGAGACACATGATCTGATCATCGGAATGATGGCCTCATCGAAAAGTTGACCAGCAAAAAGGATGGCAGCAGCATCTGGCCCAGCACAACACAGAAGGAAATCGCAAGCGTGTTCAAGTTTTGTTCCACAGCAACAGTTTGGCTGTCTGTTCAATGTGCGGTGATCTTGTTGAACTTGCAGAAGTGGCTGTGAAGTGCACCATCATGGCAGCAAAGAACAGACAGCTGCACCTTCAAGAAGAAGATGTCGGCACACTGCATGCATGGGTAGAAAATTTGAGCAGCAGAGAGGTCATCTGTCTCTGCCCTCCCCATAATCTGCGAGCAACGAATTATCCGCTTCAGGTTGTTTTTGATGGCGATGTCCATCACCAGTGTCCAATATTCGGCCGGGCTCTTGTTGATTTCCTCTGAGGCATACAAAAACTTGACTTTGCTGAGGTCCATTCCAACAGCTTTCCAGACTTCGATCATGTACTCTCCCACAACCCTGATCTTCTTCAGGTCCCCTCCCATCTTGTTGTTCAGCTGGGCAAACCAATCAGCAACCCTGACGAAACAGAGCACTGGGTCACATGCACCTCCCAACATGAATGCGATGATGCACTTTTTCCCAAACTCATGTGTCCTTCCCACTCAATTCCAGCGACAGCCCAGGGAATATAGACACATCTTAGGGACGCCCGCCCCACAGAAACAGTGTTCTGATTGTGGCAAGAGTTCCAGAACGTCAAGTATGCCCCGGCATCAGTCACTTGACAGTTGACTGAAATACATGAGCTTTCACAACATCTGTGCATGGAGGCTCCTGGGCCTTGCCAAAAACATTGGTGTTAATCCCCATCGAGTCTGTCCACCTTCATCGCGCCTGACACCATGTTGTAGGTGTAAGGGCAGTGCTTCATTATATCTCCTGACAACCATGACTCCTACATTCACCAGAATATGACATATATCTGCCGTTTCACTCAATGACCAGGCTCAGGCATAATTTGAATTCACAAGTGTTTCCTCACAACTATTTTTGTTTCCCTTCACCAACTAACAGCCTCAAGGCGACTGATGACGCCCTCAAAGGGGAGCAGGTGCTGCTGAACTTCTGGCTATATCTCACAGTCCTTCAGACAGCTCATAAAACTCACCAGAACTTGAACGTACATCCAGCTTTGGTGAGCTTGTTGACATTCAGAACCTTCAGGACCCCCTGAAGCGTACATGCACAAGGGCTAGATCAAATAAGCAGCACACCGCATCATGGAGATTATAGCTCTGTATATTCTGTTGGGGGCATGCACTCAGTTGATAGCATTCCTGAAGTTGATGCATAAACAGGAAGTTAATGTTCACACTGCACTCAATACTGAACCAATGCCCACTTGCTTGGATATGCCACAAGGATGCACAGCTGAAAGGCACCAGTTTTGTCCACAAAGCGATATGATGAATGATCTCCTGAGTATTCCAACCGGCAGAAATGCGCATCACTTTGTTGTCAGGTGCATTCACTGCATCAAGGTCCAAGTGCCATAGACTACAGGTGCAGTCCCTACAAGGAAGCACAGAGAGCAAAAGCATCCAAATGTCCCCATTCCCCCCATGTTACCACTGGACTGTGCATCATCTTTTTAATAGATAGCAAAACAATGCTTCACAACTCTTGCTGGTGATCGTGCCCATCGCATGACGAACTTTGGTTTCAGCTAAGAAAATGTTCTCCACCTCTGAATTCACTGCTCTACATGGTAACTACTGGACGCGTCTCCACACCTGCGCAATGTGCATCCGGCCCGAAGGTTCAAATCCGTCATATGCCACCACCTCTGGCTTCTTCTCCAGCAGCAACCTCAGCTCGTCCTCCTGTATGCACTCCTCCCCGATACTTCGAACCAACTCGTATTTCTGTTCAGGCGTCATCCTTCACCACAGCATGCGGAACCAATCAGCCCAAAATTAGCTGTTGCAACTGCTTTCGCTGCATTTGATGTTAAAGCACCACCCTTGCACCTGTGGTGCAATGCCTGGAACCGTTCAAAACTGCCGGTGTCTTGGTCCGAGTCGTGGAATCGCTTGCTGTTCCTTCTCACCACCAAACAGTCCTGACAGCAGCAGGGGTCGTCCCTAGGACAAGGAAAAGAAAAGAAAGAACAGACTACAATGGTCCAATGGTGTCAGCCGCCGGCACACAACCTTGGGTTTGCATTTGTGGCCTAGTGACAAGAACCTTCTCTTGCATTTGGAAGGCGACACAAGACATACGAACACGCACGGAAAGTCCAGAACACGATCCCCACAAACGCCTGAGTTCGCCCAGCCTGCGCGGCATCAGCAATCAGTCACCAGTGTCTAAGGACACAACACCTGCAAAGATCGCCTAACCACAGGGGCCAGCTGTCCCACGTGGCTGGTGCAATTTTCTCCCTGGTGGGGCAGCCCTTGAGCCAGGGGCCGGCGTTTCAGGAGCTCCGCGGTTTGGTGTCATGGACCCTGTTGCCCTACTGGCACAAGAAAACTGTGCGGCGCTTTGGGGGCTCGGGCTTATATTTCAATTAATTCCATGCATCTTGCCCACGGAAGGCACCCGGACATCGCACGGCACACATACGCTCTTCCATCGACCCCTCCCCAACAGATTGCCAGGCTGCCACCGTCTAAAATCCCACATCAAAATCAAGAACAAGATCCCAGCTGTGCCCATCAGGCGTTGCGCCCCCAAGCGATTTTCTTCCATTGAGAATCCACGCACAAAACAAAAATAGGCCTACGAGCGCTTCAGGCCATCGCGGGGCCTCGCGCCGATCCAAGACAGCGCCTCCCGACTCACTCGCCCTCGCTGCCGCCGATGCTCATCTCCGCCACCTCGGCGCTGACGGCCTCGGCGGGATCCCCGGCCGCGTCCCCAGCGGGCTCTTCCTGCGCCTGCGGATTGGAAGGCTCGCCTCCGGACGACATCGCCGAGGGCACGGCCCAGCGAACGAGGCGGGCGTCGGGCGGAGCGCTGGGGTGAACAGGAAGCGGGGGGGAAAGAGTCGGCTGCCCTGCTGGCGCGTTTCTTTTGCGGTCGGCTGCTTGGTGGAAATTGGCTCAAAAACAATGTTTCGACTGGTGCAACGGAGTTCTGGGCGGTACTTTTTGGGAATCAGTACTTTGCTAACTGTGCTGTTAATTTTGGTAATTGTACAATGCCTAATTAGCTGTTTCCAAACTGGGCGCTGATTTGTTCTGGATGTTCTTTGCAAGTTCGCGTCCTTGTCCAGTCGCACACTTGGCAGTGGAGGGTAGTCGCACAAGGCCCGCTGAGGTCAATTTTGCTCAATGAAAATTCGCAGCGGCGACCTTTGCGAAAGTTGTTTTTCCAAAGGCATGTGTTAGCTTCAGTGGACGTGGCATAGCATGTGTTTAAAGTGCAAGGATCTCAACCAGTCAATGCACTGAGTGGTATAGCATATGCTACAGTATTCTATGTCTCTGGCGAATTGAGCCATGTGGGTGACCACAAGCATAACTTGGTACGTTCAGCCAGCAGGTCACATGTTGCCAGCTCAAAATTGGGCCCTGCAGAAAAAGGGCACCCTGCGACAGCACGAGCCAGCAAAACCGACAATGTTCAACTGTCCTTGCTCTTGTCCACACCGACTGTCGCTCAATGCTGGCGGATGGCTACACCACGGCTCCTAAATTAGTGCATCAATGCCGGCACATACTATGCAGTAATGTTGCACCAAACACCGGTGGTAAAGTTAACGGGGGATAGATAAGCAATTGATTGCGTCTGCCAGCCTCGCCAGGCTTGCGCGGATGCTGGGCCGACGCTGGAAATGTGAGGAAGAAATTGCGACACTGGTATCATCCCCCCTGTAGGCAATGGGTCGAAATGATCAAGGCACAAAAGGGTGCATGGGATGCGCCGCACGCTGCCACAGTTCATCGCCGACGGCATGCAAGCCGTCAATAAGGACACCCAAAATATGGTTGCATCTGCCAAAGAACAACACAGGTGGAAGTGACGCGGAAAACGAAAACACAAAGCTTGCTTGGTGAAAATATCAGGGCTGATTTGACCTGAGTTGCTCAGCTTTGAATGAGGTTCTCGCTAGTTGCTGCTGGCTAATTCTGGTAAAAAACCCCTAATCAAACGCAGAATAAACATAAATGTATGGAACGGTCTCTTTTCTAGCTGTGAACAGTGCCACAAAGGCGAGATATACATTACCAAAATGGACACCTTGATTGAAATGTTCATGCAGTCCCGTAATTTACCAGCATAAATGGTGGCATCACATTTTTCAGTACATTTAACCAATATCAGATCGACCTTTTTGACATCCCTGTATCATGTTTTGGAATTCAGTCCACTTGCATTCTGAAAATGTACAATGGCGGTGAGGAGACGACGCGTTGCTGCTAAGCTGGCACTGCTAGCCGCCGGCTGGCCAGACTGGACATCAATTTACGTGCATCTGGAAACGCTTCATGGATGTCTGGGCGGCAGCTGGGGATGTGGGAATTGCGATGGCTGGATTGGATCAGATCGAAAACGCGAAGACGGGTTCTCACAATAGGCTTTAGGCAGACGTCAATGGTCACAGAAGCGCTGAGGTTTAGTTGCCTTTATGCTGTCGCCTTGTACAGTGCATTGTGCTCCACTTGGCTTCCTTTTTGGCTCCAGTTTTGGAGGTAATGGATTTCAGCCCATGCCGTTGGCAGAATTCGCGCACAGGCTGTCCCTCTTACATATTTCGTTTGGCCGAGTCTGAACGACAACCGCTTCCCCGCGGGTGGTTCAAAATTGAAATACCCATTGAGAAGCGGTTGTTCTTGCTGCTTGCACGCAGCTGTATTGTGCATTTCTCTGGCGCCACATGCCTGCGGGTGGGCGAGCATTGGCGATGTCCAGGCCACCAATCATGGCTGCGGCATTTTTTTTGTCAAGTTTTGCTGAAATTTTCAAATTCAGAAAAAAGGTTACCAATCCATGCTTTTAGATAGCATTTTCTTAGATCTCTGGAACGCGTGTGTACGTTTCCATCAAACGACATTTCCTAATGCTGACTGGGCTGGGACGCCACACGAACAGTTTTTAATTAATCCAAGCCATTTTCACCACGGCGACGGAAAAGTGGTACGTCTCTTGGCCATTATATATTCAAACACACCGCATGTAAGTTTTAGACAGCACCAAACCCCTGCTCAAGCGCCTTGCCCTCATTACGCAGCGCCAAGTCCGCGAGGGAAAGCCATTGCCTTTTGGTGCATCTTGGAAATGTGAAGAGCTCATTTCCATAGTGTGCACAATCATGGCTGAAAAGGGCCATTTGCCCCTGTTTATCCACAGCACCATGTATGCGCTTGCAGGCAATCTCCCCCACTGACCGTATTGTGGATCATCTAGTAAGATTATTGAATATTCTTTGGGCTTTCGTTGTTAAAGGCCCGTGCCTGTGGGCATTGCGTCGACTGAGGCATTGATTCATATGCCGCTGCCAGCGTTCTGATTTTGTTGTTAATAGCTGCAGCACAATGCACCAAAACGTGCTCAGACATTCCACATTTTGCACATGCACTGGATCTCAATCAACGCGACCTTGGTTGTGGGACGTTGTCCAGTTGCGCAATAGGGCCATCATGCTAGCCAGAAGTGTGGCGTTGCTTGTCCAAAGCGCGTTTCATCATGAGCCTAACAGGTTCGTCGTGTTGCACAAGTCACAACATGCCATGTTACATAACATTGTGGCGCTGTTCTCATCTTGCAGTCAGAAAAATTTCAACAGAGATTTTAATTTCTTCCACATTTCTTTGCAACTGTCTTCTGTACTTTGGGTATTGGGCGCTTGCACCTCCGCTTGAAGCCCGCTCTGGCAAGGCCAGATGCTCAGATCCATTCCCAGCCGGGACTCCGAGCCACGGACGCACGTACGACAGCGCTCTGTGTGCGACGGCCCTGGCATCCTTTCACGACCTCGAAACGGCACTCCCATGGACTCGGGGGACAAACGCCGCAAGGACGGCCGCGGCCGGTGCCAGAAAGTGACAGAAACCTGGGCGTGTACAATGGCACGGTTCCCCGGAGCGGCGCCGGGTGACGCTCGCGTGCGTCAGCAGGCTGGAGCGTCGCTCCGCGGCCCTCTCATCCCTCGCGCCCGTGTGAGCGGGCCTCTTGCACCTCCCGACCTCTCGGGACCAGGCAGAGACCCGCGCACCGAGCGCACCGAGCGCGCTGAGCGCACTCCACCCGCACAGCCACCCACCGCCAGCCAGGTCGCCAGGATGCGCGGCTCCGCCGGCCTCCAGGCGAGCTTCATGGCCAGCCTCCAGGCGGCCGGTGACGACCCTGACGACCCGGGGTCGCCCCCCCGCTCGCCGCCAGTTCCGCAGCCGAGAGGCGACAGGACGGCCGCTCGGTCGCCCCCTGGCTCGCCGACCCCGGCCAGGCAGGCCACCCCGGCGGCTGCCGCCGTGCATCACGTCGACTACAGTCAGCCGATCGACTTCAGCCGGTCGGGTCCCGGGGAGGGCTCCTCCAGCCAGGGTCCCCCGCCCGCCAAGCCGTCGGTCTCGGAGCTGAAGCCCGCATCAAAGGTGAGCATGGGCGATAGGGAACGCGCAACAAATGGGCTGCGGATGTTCGACTTGGGATGGATGTCTGCGCGGATGCCGTTTCGGGGCAGCCTGCCTCCGGGGCCCACCGCGCGAATGTTGTGGTGGCTTGCCCCTCGATCGATCGATCAGTCGCTGCGCAGAGCCTGGGCGTCGTTCCAGAACGGAGCCCCGCCGTCGCGATTGAGATCTGGTGTGGTCCCCGACCTGCCGCAGGCACATGGCGCGCTTCTGTGCATCCCAGAGGCGTCGCCTGACGATCAGAAGGGCAGCGGAGGCGGGAGCGACGGCCAGCCCACCCCCGCCGTGGCCGCCGCTGC